GCGCGAAACTGAAGAATTCGGAGGGCTAAGCGATCGGGGCGACACGAGACGCTTCGTTCGGGCTCGCCGGGAGCCCGTTCGCAGGTTGCTGCTCAGTCTGCAAGATCGTCCTATGCCAACAGAAGATATAGAAGTAAAGATATGTAGGTAGCATAAAATACCTCTGTGAACATAATAATTGGCCGTTCACAAATATCGCACACGTATTACTTGAAAATACATTAAAATGTAATATTTTACTATTCATAAATTAAAGTACAAAACAACAAATATATACAAAAGCAAACAATTGTCAAATACTTGTGAAATGTTCGTGGCTAGTCTGACGCGGCGTGTCGTCTCGGCCAAGAGACTCTTCAGAGACCTTTAGAATTCAAAGGCAAACTCGTTGAGCATTGTAAACGGGACTTTGGGCGTGATGCTCAACGAGTTTGCCTTTGAATACTAAAGGTCTCTGAAGAGTCTCTTGGCGGAGACGAAACGCCGCGTCAGACTAGCCACGAACATTTCACAAGTATAAAACAAAAAATATATATGTTAAGTAAAAACTACAATTGAGATCCAGACAAGAAACCAATAAGGGCGTTTCAGATTTTTATGTAAGTGGCTCATTAAAAGTACACTAGAACTGAAGCAGAAAGCAAATCTTTTCGGTATCGTATGTTTCAGCTATAAATTAAAGAAATGCGCCTTCTCTTTCTTCCAACTTTTTCACCCAGGCCCTGTCCACGCTACGCCGGAGGGATTTGAAAACGAAGGTATCACTTTGAAAACGCGTCAAATGTTTTACGTTCACATTACGCTGGAGGAATTTGAAAACGCTGTAATCACCAGTCATTTTGGATTTGTGATTGAAGAAACCTCGGGCAGGAAATACCATGATTCTCGTAACGTTATCGTTTTTAAAAAGCTTCGTTGTTTAAATGTTTTCCGTCCACACTAAAACGGAAAACCCGCGTTGTCAAATTCCTCTAATTTGAAGAACGTTTATGAAAAGTTCCGTTGCCGTGACGGATTAGTATGGACGGGCTAACCGGAGAAATAAAACTCCGCTTTCAAATTCCTCCGGCTTACGTAGTGTAAACGGGGTCCTAGTAATTGCAAGCGTGCGCCGTTCCCTTGCCACAATCTTTTTACTTGTTAATTACTCAGTGTAAGCATGCGATATTCCCTGCTGGGATCTCTTTCCTTCTAACTTTTAAGCATTCTCTATATCCCATTTGGGATCTTTTTACTTGTTAACTCTGCACATTCGCTGTTCCCTAGCAGAGATTTTGTAACTTATAACTTGTAAGGTTGTTCTATTCTACTGTCGGGATCTTTCTATTTCTGTATTGCAGCCTTTCGCTGTTCGCTTGTTGCGATCTTATTTATTAGTTTATCGAGGGCCTGCGCTACTCTGTTGGAGGGAGCTTTCTTTTAGTTTATTTCAGGTTCTTCGTCGTCGGGGTAGTTTGTTTGCATGCTTGGAGTTTGGTCACTGACTGATTTTCCTAGTGTTCACAGAGATGTTTACCAGGTAAGGGGGTTAGGGAGCCATTGTGCACAGAATAGACAGTAAATGCCAGGAAAAAGCTTCCGTGTTCCTACCTTGGTCTCTTGATGGTTGCGTTTGTGATGCAGGTGGTCTTTTTAACAAGTTCCACAGCAAAATTTCTGGGTTTTTTTTTGCATTTGTTTGTATTGAACTAGGTTCGAATTCATTGACTACGTCTTCAAGAATATTCCAACACTTTTCCTCTAACAAGGACCGTGTCAGCTGCAGTTGAAACACTTCCAAGAGAAACGTTTGTTGGTGATAGCTATACCCCGTCTATAAATATAGAGTCGTAACTTTGTTGACTAGCATGGACAGACTGGAAGTTGTCAGTGCATTGACAACAAATATGGTTCGCTCTACATTCCGAGTTTGATTTTTCTGGTCTGTGGTTTTTCCACAAACGAAAACAATAAATGAAAATAATGATAAAAACGAAAACAAAAAAACCGTTTTTGTACTGCGTTTTTATTCGGTCAGTTTTCAAATTTGCCGGTTTTGTTCCTTTCTGTCTTCATATTGACAAAAAATTTATACGTAAAACTTTATATATAAGCCAGCAAAAGAAATCTGCGTGTGTCCATGCTTGACTGCGAGTAACTGCTGGACTGTAACAAATCATATACTGTAACTTACAGTTTATTCACAAAGGAGCATTAAAAGGATGCTGGTCTGACAGGAATATGCTAATGAATGTCACGATTTGGAAGCATGTTTAGCTACAATAGATTGGACCCTGAAAAAAAAAAAGAGAAATAAAATTGCCAATTAACTGCTTTTTTACTCGGTTTTCATTGAAACATGTTATCATATACGTTGGAAATTTTTCAAACCTGACAACGCAAATTGTATTTGTTATGCACGCATAATTTATCCGACATGTCCCTTCTGACGACTAATTGTACCCGGCCAATATAATTTCTTTTATTAATATTCCCATAAGAATTATGAAAAAATCGTAGCACTTGATATGCGTGAGGGAAAAATGTTGCCAGCTTCGCGTGCAGCTGGCCTAAGTTTACATCTGTTTCATTTTGAAGTAAATAAAAGTTAATGTTTTAAGGTCTGGAGTAACTGTCTTACTTATAATGAGAACCACAATCAAAGATGGCGGATCGCGTGCCGTTGTGATTTTCTGCCGCGAAATTACGAAAAACTGCAACATTTCGGCCAGCTACTTGTTTTTACAGGGGAACTGTCTTTCAAGCTTAATGTTTCTCCTGATCCATCGGGAGATGTCAGTGGTGAACCGAGTTTTTCTCTCAACTCTTCTGCCATTGCGTAAAACACGTTGTCCACATTTGTTCGATCTTTCGCGCTCGTTTCAATAAACGAAATTTGAAGCTTCTCCGCGAAACTTTTCGCCACTTCGTACTCAACTTGTCGCTTGCCAAGCAGATCGCATTTATTTCCAACAAGTAGCTTGTTTACACCTTCGCAAGCGTAACGCTCCACTTCTTCCAGCCACTGATCAATGTGCAAATATGTCTCCATTTCATTTACATCGTATACCATGATTATCCCATGTGCACTCCGGTAGTACGCCGTTGTGAGTGTTCGGAAACGCTCCTGACCCGCTGTATCCCAAATTTGGAGCTTCACCACCTTGCCACCAACATTCAAAGTCCGTATTTTAAAATCGACGCCTATCGTGCTTATAAAACTCTCAGTGAACGTGTCGTCTGCGAAACGAATCAATAGACACGATTTTCCAACGCCGGAATCGCCGATCAAAAGCAGTTTAAATAAATAGTCGTAGTCTGGATTCATCTTATCAGTCCAATATCCCTGCCAGTATAAACATGCCTGACTCTAAACGCTGCAACAAACATCCGGTTGATAATTCAGTTGTCGCCGTGTGTTATCTATGGTAAAACGTGAACTAATTTCCATATCTAGCTCGGCGAAAAATAAAATCCTATTCGTTATGTTGGGTTATTGTTGAAATTTTAAACTACCTGCCGAGGGGCAGGGTGACGTCAGACAACGAAACCAAACTTGTACGCGCGCGTGCGTCAAAAATTTCCAACAAAGTGGAAGGAAATTGACGAAAATAAGGCACCGTCTTCAGAACGCCAGAGGAATTTAAAAACGCGACAATACTTGGTAGTTTTGGATTTGTGGTTGGGGAAAACTCGGGAAGGGAAATCATATTCGTCGTTTTCAAAAAGCTTTCTTTTCAAAATGCTTTCCGTCCAAACTAAAACGCAAAGCCGGCGTTTTCAGATTCCTCCGGTTCGAAGAGCGTTTTCGAAAAGCTCCGTTTCCGTGACGGATTAGTGTGGACGATAGGCCACAAATTCAAATTCCTCCGGCGTTATCATCTCTAAATTGTTGTGAGTGTGACAGAGTATAGTTGACTAATCGGAACTAAAAACGAGAACACGTGACTGTTTCTTGTAGTGGAAGAAGTGGCTTTTGCTCTGGCAAGACAAGACTTTATTTCGACAGATAGCAAGGATCATTCAGTGCAAGTGAAGGCTACTTTTCTTCAGGTGAATAACTCAAACGTCCAATTCAACGCCATTTTTAGGTTAGTCACGCAACGCAACTAGAGCATTGCGTGACATACGTCCGCGTGAACACGGAGACCTGGGCAGACCATTTGGTTTGACCGCCATTTTCGGACGCCGTTGATCAACTTTGGTTCATTGCTGCTGGTGGTTTTAAAATGGTCTGACCATGTTCTGAGCAACCTTGAGGTAAATATGTCTCTCCAGTCAGTAGCTTTCTTTTGAAAAGGGTGCAACTTCAATCGTTCGAACAGCTGAAATCTTGATTAACTCGACAATGCAAAGGTAAAAGGGAGTCGAAGTCTTTCTACAATTTATTTGAGCTTATTGTTCGTTAGCTTAGCCCTCTTCGACGGGCCTTTAAATTATTTTACCTAAGCTTGTCGTTATCAAGTTCAGGTTTATGATGAGCTTAGTGAATGAAGAAGACAGAATTAGTTTAAAACATTTGAAAGACTTTTACTGAACATTTGAAAGACTTTTACTTACTTGAAAAAGCTTTTACTTACTTGAAAAAGCTTTTACTTACTTGAAAAAGCTTTTACGTACTTGAAAAAGCTTGGAGTCGAGAGGTGAACTAATGGCCGGACCATGGCGGGTCTGAAGCACAGGTAATGGGGGGGCAACCTGAAAACACTGACCGCCAGTCGCTGGACCCCCACTACGGACTGGGTCCGCAGACTACCTACATGTATGGACCAGTCCACGGACTCCCCCCTACGGTCCCCCTCTACGGACAACCCCCAAAATATAATAAAAATAATAAATAAATATTTTAGTTATGGGTTGTCTAATAGATTACTCGTGACGGTGAAATTTCGAATGTTACGCTGTGCAAATGTAACAGACCTGGATTCAGGCTCTGGTGCAATTTATATCACTAAACATTGCCATTTCTTTTGCTGTGGCCATAAAGTATACGAAAAACGCGTACGGGGAAGCCTTGAAATTTGTGTTCTTTCCCTTCTGCCATTTTGTTCAGCCCATTCTCCCGTGGGTTCGTGAACTCATTCCAGGCTTCACAATTTGCTCAGCGGATACAAACAGATACAAACAAGAATAAACGGCCTAAAAGTATATATTCCAAAGCCAGATTGAGCCACGAATGGAAGGTAAGAACACAGCTTTTGGGCATTTTTGGGGGCGGGAGAGGGGGTGGGGTGTTAAAAACCTAAGTCTGTTACATTTGCACAGTAACACTCGAAAAATCACCACACGAGTCTGAATCTATTGGACAGTGAATATTTATTATTTTTACACTACTTTAGGATGGTCTGTAGAGGGGGTCCGTAGGGTAATCCGCTTACCCGGTCCGTTTTGGGGGTCCACGGACCGGGGGTCAGTGTTTTCGAGTTACCTGGTCACGGGCCATATGGATCACAGGTTATTATTGTTTTTACCAATACTGAAACAACCTTAAAACTTTACTAATACTAACCTTAAGCCTAAGCATTGTCTTAGAGTAGTATTTAGGCCTAAGGTTAGCATTAGGAAGGGGTGAGGGTTGTTTCAGTATTGGTAAAACAATGACCCGTGACCTGTGTTTTAGACCCGTGAATTGTTGAGTGTGTTTTTGTTATCTATAACAAACAAATCCTCGTAATTCGGCCTCAAAGCTATAAATTTGGCCAGAGATGTAGAAAATACTATCGAAATTGGTTGAAACTTATCCAAGTTCAGTCTTAATTAAATTAAGCGGTGTAAAAAATGACATTTGTACATGTGCCTCCCTACTGTGCATAATTTTCGCATCATAAGCATGTGCTCTCAAGATGCATGTACATAGACAACACCAAGAGATCTCCTTCAAGCTAAGCTCGACAGCGAAATGAATGTTAGTTTTCTCTTAAAGATGATTTCCAGTCTGTGCTGCGCACTCACGAGAGTTTGTTTGTGTTTTTTGTTTTGTTTGATGTAAGATGTCACAAAATCTAAATATTTTGCAACTACTTACGTGAAGTAAATTCAAAGTTTCAAAACAACCCCTATTAAGGATGTGAAGTAGTGGAAACTTTATGCCTTGTTCTTTCTCATATCACTTGATGAAACGAATTCACAGCTGTGAAAATCAACGCAGCTGTTGGAAAAAGAATTTGAAAGGCCTCAAAGATAGGATATGTGGTTTGTAATGCATAACATTGTTTCACATTCCATCGAGTAAGATTTATAATGTTTATAAACATTAGGGTGCTGAGACTGCATAGTATGGACTGGAAATCATCTTTAAATGAGCATGGTGACTTGTATTTTATATCATGGACATTATTTTGGTGTTCTCATACCTTCTCGTTCTTTTTGCTTAAGAAAAATTGCCTTACAACAATCAAAGAAAAGGTACTTACTAGTGGAAAAACAAATTTATATAGTCACATGCGAAAATAAGAATTTGTAGATTTTCTTCACACCCAAAATGCCAAACTCCATCGATTGTCCCAATCCCCACTTGGTTTTGTAGCATCGGCAGGGGAGGAAAAAAACCCAGGTCCGATTGTGCAAGGCAAGGAAATTTTGCTCTTGGGAAAGTGAATTAGCCTCAGTAGTCTTGCTATTGACAATTTCCAATCAAAAGCAGTTTGAATTTTCAAACTAAAGACTACATGATGAGCAAAACAATGAGTTGAAAGCATGGATTAAGTCAAAATCTGAGCATAATTTGCTCACTTTCCTCCTTTTTGTCTTTTTATTTATCTTTTCATTTGAAATTTATTATTTAGTGTTAGTAATAAAACCTTGCATGTTAATTAAACCTTTAGTAATGTACAGTGAAACCTGTATTAAGCGGACCCCATATTAAACAGACACCAGCTTGAGTCCCTAAATTTTCTTCCCACATTTACTGTAAAATAAACCTGCATTCGGTAGACACCTCTGTCAAGCGGACACGTACACCAATATTAAGCCATTTTGTTGCACAAAACCTGCAGTAAGCGGACACTTCAAGGGCATTTTACCTCTAAATGTTCAGCTGAGACTCCTTTAACATTGTTCAGCGATGTCCTTTTAAAGCTAAGTGATTATTTCAGATTGACACATTGACTGACTGGACATTGTGCTATGAGCAGTCTTTGATCTCACACTGTGTTACAAAAGGGTTAATAATTAACTATTATTACACAACATATTAGAACCTGTTTTGAGCGTACACCCTTTATTAAGCGGACACTAATGAGGGTCCTAAGGGTGTCCATTTAATGCAGGTTTCACTGTATAATGTATAGAATTTCTGAAACAAATTTTAAGAAACACTTTCAGGGTGATTTCTCACCAAGCACCCACTAAATAAGAACTTGATCAGCCTGAACCCCAAAATCATAGGTTCTTATGTGCGGGTGTTTACTGTATAGTGTAGTGCAGATCTGTTTTAAATATGGGTAATAATTTTATCTTAATTTGTTATTTTCAGTGACATCCACTTGTTGAAGTGTACTTGAGAAGTCCATCAGTATGAGCTGTGAAACTATAGTGACCACAAGCAATGATGACCAAAGCCTTTCTGATAATGTCTCATCAAAACAAAATAAGTTGGGCTGGTCCACAACCAATAATTCTCAAAAGCTACATGATTTGAAGGTTGTTTTATTTAAACTAAATGTTGGAGAATGTTTCCCACTGCCTGGAAAAAGTGGGTTTTCTGTAGAGTATCCCATAACTGCAATAAACTTTGGCAAGAATCGTGTTCCTGGAGTGCAAAAATCTACAGAGAGGAGGTCAAAGAGAATTTCAGAAGCTGTTGCCACATGCTGCCTTGGTTGTAAAAATGGAGACTCGTGTACTAAAAAGGGGCCTAAAAAGGCCAAGTCATCAAGCCCACAAGTTAAGGATGCTACTAAAAAGAGGAAATATGTTTATAGAAAAAAGCCGGGAAGAAGAAAAAAGCAGTCAATACAGACTACCAAACCAAATCGTCAGTCAGGTACAGGTCTTACAGTTATTTACCTATATGGGGACCATTTTCATTTGCATGAACATATGTTTTCAGTGGTCACAATCGTTTTTTACTTTCAAAATGTCAGCAATGTCAGACAAGGCCATACAGTCCCTGAAAGTTGGTCAGCAATTTTCAGGCACCCATTTCCCCCCATTGTCTTCCTTTTTTGGGGGCTGACAGTCTATTAGCAGTCTGGTAGTTTAGCCAGATACTTGATAAATGTCACTAACATGTGCAACTCATCCAGTTATTATCATTGTTATTGACTGGATAGTAATTCATTTTATTGGTTAATTATAAAGTGGACACTGAACACACTTAATGTTCTTCCGACAAGCCCCACTTTACTTGGGCCAAAATAACGACAAAAAGTTTCGACATTTTGAAGTAAACAAACCAAATAAGAATAATTCTTCATTTCTTTACCTTATATTGACTTTGTCCCCCTGACAAACTTGTAGTCTTTCGGGGCAAGGCAAGGGAACAACTGCTGCTAGAATTAACCCAGTACCCATGGGGTGGTGTGGTGACCTCATGGTTAGTGTACTTGTCTCCAGATTGAGCAGTCCAAGCTGGAGGCCTGGCTGCGTTGTGCTCTTGGCCAAGGTACTAAGTTACTCTCACAGTGCCTCTCTCCACCCAGGTGTATAACTGGGTACCAGCAAACTTGATGCTGGGTGTAACCCTGCGATGGACTACCATCCCATCCAGAAGGAAATACTACTACAGTCGAACCTCGATTATCCGGACTCGTTGGGACTAGACGAAATAGTCCGGATAATCGAGGGTCCGGATAATCGAAAATAGGAATATTAATGAAGAACAAAACTGTTTAAATAAAGCAACATTTAATCGTGAAACAACACTTTTACAAATCGTTTGGAAAACAATATGGGCTATTGTACATCTTGAACCACTAAACTCTGAGCCTATCAGAACTCATTCGAGCGTTCTTCATTAGTTACGACGCGTGCAAGCGCTGCTTTTGCTCTTTAAAAGCAAAAATCTGGATAATCGAGGCACGGATAATCGAGGTTCGACTGTAGTCGTTTCATGCTACAGAAACCAGAAATAAGCGCCGGCCCGATGGGCCACTTGGCCCGTATGCAGACTTCACCTTACCATGTTGGCCACAACTGACTATAAGAGGTAACTTGTTTTAGCAATCCCCTATGGTATAGAAGAAAGATTAGTGTGGTGAAAACACTTGCAGGATCTTCAAAGATCTCCACAAGGACCTTTAAGGATTTTTATATATAATCGGTAACAATCCTCAAGGTTCTTTTCGGGTCCTGCTAAATCAGTTCTCAGATATAGATTTCGCTGAGCAAAGACTCCTTATCCCGGGCTAAAAGTATTATCGAGCTGTCATTGCTTCTCTCAACCTTATACTTGCCCTGTTTTAGATTCCCTGCGCAATGCAGGTGAGACATCATTTTCCGGAGTGCATCCTAACCAGAGGTTGGATCAAGACAGAATTCCTATCCAGAGGCCTTTGTATATCACACTATTAGATGGAAGAATATTGAAACAGACACCTTACACTGTGTGTTTCCCTAACGCAGTAGCCATGAACCAGTCTGCTGTCCCGGTGGGGATGGTGAATCATGTTGCTCAGGTACCAAGCAGTCCCCAGGGGCTCCTCCAACCTACATTTGCACCAGGAGTGCCCAGTCCACTCTATCAACGAAATGTTCCTGGTTCACTTGTATCCATGCCAGCAGTATCTCCTGCTCAGGCGATAAATCGCGCTATCATCTCACATTCAGATGTTCTCCGGACTGTGTCATCTGGTCCTTGCGTTTCATCGGATGCCTCTGGGGAGAGCGAGGTACCAGCTCCTGTTTGTGTACCTGGAGTTTCTGAAAACAGAAGTCAAACTGCTGCAGTTGGTAATACAAATACAGTTCACGTTATATTTTCTAGAGAGAAGGGCTTAGGTCACAATCTGTTGCCTGTAACCAACAGTAGCACATGTCCTTTGGGTAGCATGCAAGCATACCCTGGCAAAGCTTCCTCTGTCACGCACTCCATTCCAAACACTCCTGTCACGCTCACGAATGCTGGAGTGGCAAATCCTCGACAATTCCATTTTGCTGCCTCAGGACCACACACTGCAGCCCTTCCTATTTATGCTCCAGCTCGTTCCCCTCTGCATTTGCCTCCGTTTATTCCTGTGGCATTTGGTGGTGTCAGTGGGCTTCCTTTTCATCGCTTGGCACCATCCTTGTCATTGCCTGTCCAGACCATGTCTCCTGTAGCTGGTGCTGGTATCCCTTTCATCGCAAACTCGCCGGTGAACAACGTCCCTTATTCAAGTACTGCTCCATTTGTGTATCAACAACCTCAACAACATCGACAACAGCAACAACAACAACAACAACAACAGCAGCAGCAACAACAGCAGCAGCAGCAGCAACAACAACAACTACAACTACAACATCGGCAACAACAATATCAACAACAACAACAACAGGAACAACAACAGCAGCAACAACAACAACAAGAACATCGACAACAACAGCAACGACAACTACAACAACAACAGCATCAACAAGAACATCGACAACAACATCAACAACAACAGCAGCAACAACAACAACCGCAGCAACTACAACAGCAACAGCAACAACAGCAACAGCAACAACAACAACAACAGCACCAACTACAACAGCAACAACAACAACAACAGGCTGTGTCACAAACATGGTCTAGAACAGACCCTGTTGGTTCTAGTAATTCAACTCACGATCAAGCCGCAAGTTCATCAAACACGAACATATCACCTATTCAAAATTTAGCCTTGCAATCAGTAAGCGCCAGTGAAGGCAGTTTTCACCTTCAGCAAGAATCAACAGAAGGTACTGTTCAACGAGCTCCTGAAATCTCTGCCTTTGAAAGAGTAACGAGAACAGTCGAATCTCAAAGTAGTGTTGATGAATCATGTCGCGAACTGCGTTCACTCTTAGAGCGATTAACACAAAAGAAAAAACTACCAGGCGATTATAGATTTATCATAGATCACTACAAGTCCACCTTCGAACAAGAACCGAACAACGCGATCACTGTCACTGGCTTGGAATCACTGAAACATTTCCTTGACAGGACTGAGAGCAAATTCAGAGCAGATGCTATGGCGCTGGACAAGTCTTGTCTGGCTTTGCAGTCTTTGACTGAGAAATACCAACAGGACATTCGTAGAGATTTAGACAGGTTCCGGTATAGACAGGTTTTGCACAAGAGAACGAACACGGGGGAAAATAGCGGAGTGTTAGAGGAAGGATCAGTGGGAAGTCATAGAAAGCGGAGTTTTCAGGAGATGAAAAGCAAAATCAAGGAGCTGGACGACAAGTTGAAGGGGTTTGCGAACGAGCAATACGAAATACGTACGAAGTGGCAGGACTATGAAGCAAAGGAACTCCACAAACGCCATTAAAAAGCGTCCATTTGCCGAGAGGAACATAACTCTGCGTAGATCTTATCACAATTTCTGACGTCATCGTATTTGGGGGCCGGAGGGGCGCAAACACGGCAAATATTACGGAAAATGTATGGGAAAATGGTGAATCTCATGTCTAACAACTCATGGAAAATTCGAATTCTGAAGTATTGAGGAATTAAAAACTAAAGATACTACGTAAAAGAATTCACTGATCGCATTTGAGGGAAATAATCTCGCTACAAAAGCCACAATTAAGGTTTTCATTTTTTCCATACATTTGTCTGGAAAACCGAGGCGCGATTCGAACAAAAATTTAGAGACACATTGAAATACGCATTAAATACATTGACACATTAATAAAGCTTTTACTTACTTACTTACTTACTTACTTACTTACTTACTTACTTACTTACTTACTTACTTACTTACTTACTTA